CTGTCTCAGACAATAAGTGAAAAAGGAGAGAGTAGAGTGTGAAACACAGGCTACAATAGTCTGATATAGGAATGTGTGTTTGGAGAGGCCAGTCAGCCTTAGAGCATGGAGACTTTGGGAATGTTCTGTGCACAGAGATACCATGGCCCGTAAGAATCATGTTTGTCCCCATGTGTGTGTGTGCAGCAGTTGGCATTTGTTGGCATTTGACCCTCTGCAGAGTAGCAGAGGATCCTTTTCAGGTGGAAGTTTGCTGTTTGGGAGGGCCTGCAAAGGGGTTTATTGGGGCAGTAACACTGGTCCCCAGCTGTTGTTGGCACAGTGTCATGGCTCCTTTCAAAAATGGAAGCAGCCTCTATTCTGATCCTCTTCTTTCAGCCTCTTCTGATCCTCAGCTATTCCTGATGCTCCCTGCTGTGAACATTAAAAATCATCTTGTCATACCCACCCTAAGTTTATTCCCAGCCCGACTGTAATGCTCATTTATTAATCCATTTGGCCTTTAATTAACCAACTCTTTCCAAACCAGTGTTTTTCCCACTAATGTGTTTCTCTAGAGTAGTTATGTTTTCATGGCCTCTAGCTCAAGCTTTTCTAGTGTTCTAAAATGGTCTGCACATGTCCTGGGCTACTCTAATTGCTCTTCTCTTTACTGTTTGAATTTATTATGGTTCCCTGGGAAAGGCCAGACAATTTGTATTGAAGTTCTTTTTATTTTTTTACTCCATTTTTAAAAAAAAAAGTCAATTAAAGAAATAAAAAAATTATTGAAACCATAGTTCTTGTGTCTTTTTCAGTAGTGTTATCTGTGAGGATTTTCTCTCTCTCCTTTTACAGAATCATGTACATGTTTTTGTGCTGCTGTCATAGAGAGGAATGCTGCAGCTCCATCAGCCCTGTCTGGAGCTGGGGAACTTCACAGCTGGGGACCCATTCAGGCAGTATTATCTCTCTTGGCCCATCCTCTGGTCTCCATGCAGGCAGACATATTTCTTTATGGCAAAGTCTGTGCAACAAAATTTCACTTTCTTCATGCTTTACAGCCAGTGGTAAGCTTGGCTTACTTAGGCTAACTGGGTTTTTCAATATTGTATGTTGATCCAAATATCTGGGCTTGAAGTCTTCATAGGAAAGTGAACATGCAGATTTTGGAAGGGTTTCAAATTTGGGCCTTCCTGAAAGTTGCCACCTCTACAATGCCTCTTTTTGCAACATCAGTGATTTTCAGAAGGTTGTTTATTGTGGGGCTTGAATCAACATAAGGAACTTTCTGGTAGCATGTCTGAGACAGAGTGTCCTGCTCTTGGCTGACATCCCATTTCTGGTCTGTGCTTTCTGTCACTTTGCACTGCTGACCTAGGCTGGCTGCTCTTTTTATTTCACTCAGCATTGTGCCTTAGTAGCTGGTGACAACAGTGGGAATGCTGAGTACAGGTGAAGGCTTCTGAAGGAGTATTGTTTTTGCAGAATTGATTAATGGGGATGTTCACCTTGAAGTAAGCATGCAGTGCACCCTTCAGGAGGTGTCACTTGTGACAGACCAGCAGAAGTGTTTCTGTATGAAGAACGTAGCAGGATTTATACTGCCATCTATGTCTCTTAGCAGGGACTGCTTATTTTAGCAGACCATTGACCCTGACTGCCCTGAAAAGGCACAGTTAGAGGTCACTCAGTAAAGAGAAACAGCCCAGACCTTCACTACTGCTCTGTCTTATAGGGAGCTCAGAGTCACACTTTATGATTTGGAGAACTAAATATTCTTTTCCAGCCTGGTGCATAAGATATAAATGGGTTTAAATGTCTTGTGCTTTTTTCTTTCTTCTATAAGCATCTGTCTTCTCAAATGAGTGATAGTGTAAATGGTGACTGGAATTAGTGTGTTTTTAAGTTCTTTTAGGAACAGCTGCAGGTGGTTTTTAGGATGCTCACTTGCATGTGACTTTTTAGCTTTCTCAACCACAATTTGATCCACTGCTCACACACTGTTAACCTTTATCAATCCTTTACATTGTTGAGGCTTTAGATGCTGGTGTAGAGCCAAAGGGGCTGTTCAAACATAAAGTACATTTGAGTCCCATAGCCAAAGAATGAACTTCAGTAGTTACTGTGCTGAACAATCTCAGTGTTTGATATTCAACATATGTATGCTTTAAGTGGATGAGTGTTGTTCAGGTAAATCACCATGGCCCAGGATAGGCCTCTGCCAATCACACTTTGGAAGCCAGAGGGCAATAAAACTGCTCAGTTTTGAATTATGTAAGGTGCTGGTCTGGATTTTCATTTCCAGAGACAAACTGTTGAAAGTGTTCTTTGAAGTGTTCATTATCATAAAGCAAACCAATTTTTTTTTCCTTCATCACACTGAAAAAAACCCAAAGTTTGACAGCTTTTCCATTTCAGATACAGAGATTCAATTATCAGAAATTTGTAAATGCATCAGAAAAAGTAAAATGTAAATCAGAAGGCATTTCCTTACTTGGATTTTTTTTAATCCAATAGAAGAAAAGCAGGACAATCTGGGGACTTCTTATCCAGGGCCGTTTGGGACTATAACTATGAAAATGACAGCATCTTACTTAGTTGCACTGCTTTGTGTAAGTCCATGCAGTTTGAATCTGGAAGTGTGTTCTGGTGTAGTTCACCCTAGGAAAAGGTGCTGTAAAGCCAGCAGAGCAGGAATGTGCTCCTTCTGTTTTACCTGCAGAATTGCTTAGTCAGTTACAATTGCTTAGAGCTGCAATCAGTCAGAACTGGGTCTATAAAGCCATCACAAGTAATGAGGCATTAGCAAAACACAACTCTCAACTTGATTTGCTCTGCTTATATACCACATTATGCTCTGCTTGCATGAGTAGCATTTAATGCAGATAATATCTTTTCACTTTTATACAGGTCACAGAGAATATAAAAAGTGTTGAAGACAAAAAACAACTTTCTCATTACTGTTTTATACATCCTTAAGAGTAAATCTTGGCATCAAAATAGAATTTGCCAATGTTATTGATGCACCCTGGAGGATGAAAGGCAAATCACTCATGGAAATGGAAGAGTGTAAATCATAGAAACTCTACCAAACTTGAACTGGTGTGGTTAGTAAGGAAGCAATAGTCTGCAATGGTAATAAGTCACTTATCAAACACCTAATGCAATAAGGACAGTAAATTGGTGAGTTCAGTCAGACTGTCCTGATTGTCCCCATTCACATGACATCTGCCAACTCATTTTATGGACACTGTTACACATACTGCTCAAGGCTAAAGGTCTTTTGAATTTCTGTTGTGTGTTGGTGCCCATCTAAAAGAGTAAGATAAAAAGTAAGCAGATAACCACAGTAACTTCCCCTTCTGCAAGCCCCAAAGAAGCCATTAATCCATTCTGTCAACCTGCTGTGTCAGGACTGATTTAGTATTGTGAACTTTTGCCTCTGCTTTGGGGTGAGCTTTGCCCTGTGCTTAAGTATTGTCAAAGAGTAGGCTTAATTCTTCCAGCTGATTCTGATAATACTCTTGCCAGCATTATTTGTGGTGGAAGTGTGAGATTCTTAGCAAATTCAGTATTTATTGGTTCTCCACCTAGTTGTTCAGTCAATCTGCAAACTGCTTTTATATAAGGAAATATATTGGAACTCTTCCTAAACAGAGACATGTTTTATTGTCACACATTTTTATGGGTTAGGGAAATCAGGGCAAATCTACAATCCCCCTGAAAAGCCTCAGATAATTTACAGTTTATGTGTCCTTTGTTACTAAATAACAAAAAATCAGTGTCTTTGAGTAATTAAGGGCCTAACAACTTGTGGTCTCACATTGCTATCCCAACTAAACTAATTTAATAAAAATTTCTTACCTGTGAAGACCTGACTGTATGTTGCGATCTTCAGAGCCCTTTCAGTATTTTGTAGCATATTGGTTTTAACTGGAGAAAAGTTATATTTGAGCTCTTTAAAATGGGGTTGGGGGCCACTATCTTTGGATAATGTTTAGATTTGGATAATATATTTGACCATTTTCTTCTTCAAACTTGTAAAGCTGAAGGATAAAAAGAAACAGCTAAGGTATAAAACAAATATATGTGCTCTATGGGGAAGACTGTTTTAAAGACTTGAAATAACCTGTGTTCACCCTCCTCTCCCTCAGTTATCTGTTTAGCAAATGCTAATGAAATTTAAATCTGGTGGGAGGAAAATATATTTGCTGCAGTATTAGTACTCAACTGGAAGTTTCAACAGGTATGTACTTGTGCTGAACTTGGGTCAAATAACTTGGAATCCAGATTCTCATGGTAGTCACATATGGTAGGCAGGGAAAGCTTTGTAAGCTTTTTTTGTCGTAGTCACAGTTATAAACTGCCTTAAAATGAACTGCTTGTTATTGTTTCCATTGCCACATCTGTAAACAGCGTGTGCATGGAGCAGAATGACAGATGGATCTGCATTTTTAGCTGTAGATGAATGCTCACTATAAAGACAGCTGTGATGGTGGGAGAGGTGCTTTCTGTGAGCTGCTGCTAATGTCTCTTTTGCCTTTGGAAACTGGTCTGATGGATGTGCAAACAGAACTCACTCTTTTGGTACAAAATCAGCAAGATTAGACCAGATCAGCTATTTTATCAGCATCAGTTAACCCAGTGATGTGTGATGAAGTCTTAGTGGAAGTACTCTACATGACCATCTGCAGCACTAGATCTGGAAATCTAATTGTCTCAGGCAAAGAGGTGGTGACAGGCAGCTGAGAGCTTGATCTTATACCGGAAAAAAGCTGCCGTTGCAGAAGGCCACCTTGCCATTGCCAATTGCAGGAGCTCTGGGTTGATTCACACACCAGCAGGGAAGGTTCTTATTTCATTTTCTGTGCATGATTTTACAAACAGGAACAGCAGACTCTAAAACTTATTGAATTGTGAAGCTCGTTCTGAACCCCTAATGTCACCATGAGGAATAACAAAGTTTTTCTAGATGTCTTTTAAAAATGAAACTGTAGTGGAATTAGTTTCCAATCCTGTTTCTGTCACCACTTTTTCTCTCTCCAGTCTTTGTGCCTCATTTCCTTATTTACCTCACAGTGATGCTGCCAGCATTAATTACATAATAGACATTATAAGTTTAAAGGAGAGATGTGGAAAAAACCCAAAGCTTTTAAGCACAACCTTCTGTTGGTAAAAGTCACCAGGCTGTCGTCTGGGTTATCTGTATTTAACCAGGGATTTCTCCTTCAGCCCTGAGAACTGCAGTGTCCTAGTCTCTGAGAAAGTCAAAACATATGGAGGAAACAGCAAATGAAATTAAAGTATTTCCTAAGTGCCCATGGTAACTGCCCCCTTAGCTGATAATTCTGAACCTGTTAAACTTTGCTGGAAATAGATTTTGGTCTCTCATGATCCTCCTGTTGTGCAAAAATAGGCTTTGTAAATCCACCTCCACACATGATTAATGTTTCTTAAATTGACCAGTGATCAGTGAAAACTGACTAAAAATTACTACTACTAGCATTACATATTCTATGGAAGGATTTTGGTTTTGGATGGACAAATACTTCACTAAAAATCACTCATATACCTAATTATATAAATAACAGTACAGCATTGTACTGACTTGGAATGGCAGCTAATTAATGCTAATTGACCTCTCACTTAACATTATCAGCTTTTACTTTCCTGAAAAGCTTCTTATCCAGACCAGCATGTGCTTTTCCTGTTTCAAACATTTGCTGCCAAACCTTTCCTGAGAACCACTGCCATGGCACACAGAGGTGCTGGCTTTTTCCTGTCCCAAATTCCCCCTAACCCTGTGAAGTCAGTAGCTGCCAAGTGCTCCTCATCAGTTCACAAAGATGATCTTTGAAGTCGTCTGAAACAGAGTACCTGTCAGTTAAGAACAATGATTTCATGCCCTTTTCCTCTAATATTTGATGTAAAACACTCTCAGGGTAAGATGCTGCTGGGGTTAAAAACAAATAGCTCATGATAGTTTTCATAGTGTTCTGCAAATGGTGAATGTCCAGGGTTTCATCTCAGGCTTCATAATGGATAGGAAAAATTGTTTCTTCTCTCTGGATCTTGTTCTACTATTTGTGTAGTGATATAAGATTTTAAATTATTCAGCTCTTATTCCATGGGTATTTCTCTTGACCCCAGTGCAGGTGGCAGGCATGACTTTGGCTCAAAAAATGCTACTTTTGGGTCCCACTGATGATTTTTTTCTTTCATTTTTCTTTCCCTGTTTTGAACTGTGGAGAGTTAGTTGTCTGGCAGAAGATATCAGACACACTAAGAGATCCATCAGCTTTTGTGGGGAATGGCAGCTGTGCTAATAACTCTGTTGGCTTCTGAGGCTACAAGGGGGCCACAAATTGCTTTTATTCTCTGTGCTGAGACATCCTCCATGAGACTGCAACTATCAGCACATACAGCTTTATTTTAAGCCAAACTGCTTACCTTGACCACTGGTGTAGTCAGATTCTGTTAAACTTCAGCAGGAAAGAGTCACAGCTGCCATAGTGGTTTTAGGTAAGTTTCAAGGATAAAGGGTAAACCAGTGGAGTTCTCTCTTACCTCTGGTCTTCCTCAGAACAACCAGGTCAAAATCTTGCTAGAGATACTGGTATGGTAAGGTTGATGACTGCTTGAATTGATCCCAGTGTCTCAACCCTCAAGTGATCTGAAGTTTGGGAACATGGTGTACCTAGAAATGTGTGCAGGGTAGGGGTAAGAGGGGGAAAATGGCAGGCACAATGATCTTGGGTTGGTTTAAGTTGTCAGGAAGAAGGACAGAAAGAAAGAAAATTTCCTTATTTCACATTTCACTGAGCTTTGGATTAAATATAACACTTTGCAAGAACGGGGAGAGATGTGAGAATCAAAAAGGTGATATCTTAGTTTTTTAATCCCCTTTTGCTTGCACCCTGCAAGCAAGAATTCCCAATGATGCTGCCCTTGCAGCTTTTTTACATGATCAATCATACTGATTCTCATTTACTTTTATGTGGCTTAAGGGAATTTAAGATTCTTGCACAGCTCCAATTAATAGTAACTGAGTTTGTGCTTGTGTAATCAAAACTTGTCTCTAAGATGACATTTATTTCTGTGAGGAAGGGGGATAAAGCTAAACTGGAGATTTTATGGGATACTGAGAACTGGCATTTCATGGAGCGCCCATGTTCCTGTGGCTGTTCTTTTCAGCTATAAATTTTTAATGATAGAAATTTAAGACTTAATAAAATCAGGAGTATCATGAAATCTGAGGAAAACTAACGTGGCAGTTTATTCCAGTAAGAAAGACCAGGCTGTTAAATGAATCCCTGTTTGGATTTAACTTTAGCACCACTGCGTACAGCAGCTTGCTGAGAGCAAACATCTCCCCCCAGCTGCTGTGTAAAGCAAAGTCACAGTCTTGTACAGGAGCCAGATTAATTCAGTTCCTGGAGCTGTGTGTCATGACATAACGAGGTCTCACCAAGCTGGACTTTTCTGAGGCTTCTTTCTCATAAATCTGCTTTATGAGAGAGAAGTTGTGCTTTGTAGTTGCTCTTAGACACTTTAATTCACATCAGGTAAAGAAGCCATGAACAACACAGCCAAGAAAACCGAATTATCCCATGGGCAAGTCAGCAAGATCACTATTTGGTAGGAGAGTGTGTGTGCTAAGTAAACACTGCTAATCTTCTAAACCCAATCTTTGCATGCTTTGTTCAATAGAGAGATTTTTGTGCTTTATTGTGTTGCTGCTGCTTATTGCCAAGGAACATGCAGTGTGCAATTCTGACTGAGAACAACAACTTGCCCTTTTATTTCATTAAGGAAAGGTAAGATACAGGCAAAATGTACCTAGACAAAGTGTCTGGTGGTTTGGGAAGCCTATGTTAGGGAAGAATTAGCTGAAGTGACCTACTGTCATTTGCATCTCCCACCCTTTATCTGAATCAGTGCAGTCAATATACATCAGGGACAAATCAATGTGCAGGCAGTGTTCTTACTGACACCACTCATTACATGAGGAATGTTTTGTGTTGCCAGGTGCCAAAGACTGAAAAGACATCAGGAACATGTAATGTGTGGAATGTCTTTTTAAAACAGAGTGAAGGAATAAAAAAATCTATCTCCTTAGACTTTTGTGTAATAAGCTCTATATTAGTTAACAATGGTACGTGCTATTAGTACAAAAATAAATTTTAAAAAATTCCTTTTATCAGTGATGCAAAACAAAAAACATACCCTGTTTATACTTGCAGAGAAATTACCTCTTCATACTATGCTAATACATTATTTATATTTTACCTTGGAGACTTATTTATTTCAAGGCAAGAAAAAAAACCCACTAACTTTAAAGGGCAAGAATTTAATCACTAAGCCTAGCTAAGAGTCTCTTGACAATTTTACCAAGTCAGAAAATATCTAAGGTTGAAAAAGTAATTATTTGCTTAATGGTTATTTTTGGTATAATAAAAAATAAAACAAATGCCTGAAGTATTACTGGGCTAATCTAAGTAGTTCACCTAGAGCTCCAAAATTTTGTGTATTTCATAAGAAAGGCTTATCTACCAGGTCTTGCTTCAAAGGGTCTTTATTGTAAATGGGTAGGAGATGTTCTCAGATGAGAGCCCTTTTTAAAGCTTTATTATTTGTACATTGTCACACAATGTTTTTTCAAAAGCTGTATACCAAAGCCTGCATATTGCTAAAACCCCTTGTTTCCCTCAATGAGAAGAGTGATGTCCCAGATTTATTTCCAAGCAGGAGATGATGGTAAATTCTCAGGGTTCCTCCTCTTGCTCATCTTGAAGACATAGAACTGTTGGGATGTTAATAGGCCCTGCAGGGATTCCATCCTTTCAGCCTTAGCAGTTCCTGCAGGGGCTCTATCCTCCCATGGCTGGGGTTTGTTCATTAGCCTGGGTAATGACATAGCTGTGGCATGGGAGCTGCTCCCAAACTGTCTCCAAGTCATCTGTGACTCAGGGTGCAGCTGGGCCACTCCATCATTGAATTGGTCTCTATAAAGATAAGTGTTGCAGAGTTACAACAAGGAAATAAGTCCCTTCACAAAAAAGAGTTTAAATACTGCCATGCGCTTATTTCTTTCCATACTAACATGGGTGTTTTAAAGATAAACTTCAGCTGCCCGATCAATTTTATTCACACATTCTGATACAAGATACACGAGTCATGCCCTTCATTGTGAAATCTGTGCTGTGATGCTCTGGGACTCACTGCAATCAACATGAGGTGTGATATCTCACAAATTGCTGTGCCGGCATAACTCATGCTTCAGCTGAGCTGAACAAAAAAACTGCTTTTAATGTGTGATGCTACAAAGATAACAGGACTTAAAGTGTTGAATTCTGGCAACCATTTGTATATTGTTGCATATACAACAAACTGGGACTGATTCAAAGTTCACATCCGTCTTCATGATGGGAAGCCTTTATAGAAGCCTTTATGAATGCTTTAAAGCATTCATACTTTATAGAAATGCCATGCAGTCCAGCAATCTCTGAAAGTTTATTCCATAGATAATTCTAGTTGATTTTCCATTTATTTCTACTGTATATCTACCAGTGCTGTAGATATGTAGAATACTTCTTAGTATGTCTATTCAATTCACATTCTGTTACAGCTGTATTATTGTAACAGAATGAGAATTGAAAAGAAATACTAAGTGTTTTCAATTTCCGTTTTGTTGTGTTGCAGTGTGACTTGCTACATTTTTCACTGCAATAATTGGACATACTGCTGATACACATAAATAACGACAGTCAATTTGCTTTGAGCTCTGGCATGGCAGAACTACTTAACTACCATTGTATATCACTTTTCATTTTAACAGGTAAGCTTAAGATAGCAATAAAATAAGGATGAATGTGCATTTTCATGACTGCCATGATTTAGAGAAGGTTTCTGAGCTCCGGTTGTAACAGCCAGCAAAGTTCTGCATTTTTAAGGGTAGATGGTTGTTCTGAATATTTGTTATATTTTTAAAACTCATACTCATACTGTGGCCTGAAGCCACCCAGGATGGAAGGCAGAAGAGAAAGAGGAAAGTAAGTAAGATATTAGCAGTTTTTAAAATTTGGCACTGTTTTCACTGGAGTTCTGTTAGACTTTTGGTGGAGTCTGCCAGTATCACACAAGAAACAGTTGGTCAGTATTATATCATCTGCCCCTTTATGTTCAGTCTACAGAGCATATGGAGTTTGTCCACTGAACAGAAGTTAAGGCTTGTGGTGGCAGGATTTATGCTTCCAGTTTGGAAAGGCCCAGAAAAAAATCCAGGGAGTTGTGCAGATGAACACCATCCCATTTCCCTAGCATTGAGTGGAGTATGGGCACTCTTCAGTCACTTTTTGATAAAATAGGCATAAATCAAGTTTCACATGAGAGAGAATAGCCTTATGCACGCTCTGGCTTCTGTGCAGTAGTTCTGCAGCTTCCCTTGTGGTGGCAGAGCATTAAGTGGAGAGAGGCACTTGTGCAGTATTAGTAATGAGACACTTTGGAACCAGTGTGACCTTCATGAGGGTCTCTCACTTAGTGCTACTTTCCTTCTCTCTGACACATGCTAGGGGCCTCTGAAGATCTCTTTCTTTTCTCAAGTGTGCTTTTGGCCTGAAAGGGATGCAGCGTGGGCAGCCTCATGACCTTCACCTTCTTTTTAGATCAGGCCAGAGAACATTTTGCTTCTCTTTCCTGTTACTTTCCCATGTATTCTGTAAATAATTAAGAGAATCAGATGCATCACTCCTGCCAATTTTAACAGAAAGGAAATTACAACTAGAGAATAAATTGTTTCAAGTGTATAAATTGCCTTTCTCTACAGGCTTTTATTCTTGCAAAGGGAGGCAATCACTTATCTTGCCTAACCTTAAATCCTGCTTGGTCAGGAATCTGCAGATCTGAGAACCACCATGGGTCAAGGAGCTGGGAGACAGCCAGAGGAATGTAAATATTTTGTGGCGTGATAAACAGCAAAACCATATTAAAACCAACAAAGCAAAAAAAAAAACCAAAAAAAAAAAAAACCCCAAAAAAAACCCACCCGAAAAAACCCAGCCACCAACCCAAAAAACTTAACTAAACAATTTTCATTCATTGTATGCTGTCACTAAACCTACTGGAAGCCTTACTGGTGTGGCTTGTCTGTGGGAGGACAGCTGCCAGTGCTCTAGCCTGATGTGTGTGTGTATAACTAAGGCTCTTGGCAGTGGCTGAAAGCTGTTTTTCATCAACTTTCCTAATTTTTGTGGTCTTGTTTGTTATGAGTCTGAGGACCCATTACACCTATAGAAGTGAGGAGGCAACTCCTTTTCTCCAGTGCCTTTGACTGGGAGGGCATGTGTGTGTGACCCACTGCCAGTGCACTGAGCAAAGCCCATCTGCAGCCAGTCAGTGACTGATTCCAGTGTGCAAAACTGCACAAGGATAGATAGTGCTCATCTTTAAGGCAAGGGCATTGTTGGTCCATGAAAGTGTAAAGAGTTATTGCAAATACCTTGTAATTCGTTTCCCACAAGACAGTAATGGCGCAAAGGAGCCCTCACAGGCTATAAGGTAAATAAACTGAGTGTTAATAGCTCCCAGGTAGGTCTGCTTAGCACCACTCAGAGTGCATTTTTCAGGAAAGGTTCCCTGTGGCTGTCACCATTTAATAGTTTCTGATGGCAAGAAGAATATTTGCTCTGAAAGACCTTGGACTGTGAACGTGGAAGAGTTTTTGTGTGTGGGTTTTACTTTTTGCTTTAAAGGATATATTCTTTCCTTCAATTTAAAGGTGTTTTAAAGACCAAGAAAATATAATATTATAGGGAAATAAGATGCTTAAACTAGGATGAATGAAAATATTTTTGGAGACCCAGCATATTTCAGGTTAAGATGTGAGTGCATAATAACAGAGAAAACATTTTAATGATCTGCTGATCAAACATTCAGAGTCCAAGGTTATGTACTTTTTAGTGTGTACAGGGGCAGAATTTGACCTACTCCTGTAAAATCTCCTTCCTCCTTATATAGCTGACACAAGGGCACAGAGTCACAGCAGTCCCTGGTTGCTTCCTGTTAAGGAAGAAAATCTCTGGAAAGGTGCTGGGATCTCTTCCTCAGCCTGTGTCCCTGGGTGACCCACTCAGGTGAGCGCCTGTCATGAGGAATGCACCTCACAGCCCTGGACAGTTAACTGTGAAATCATCACAGAATTATTTTAAGGTTTCTAATGTACTTATATCTGCTGATATAAGAGGTTGTTTATTTTCTCTGTTTGAAGAATTTACATCTATGCTTCAAACTACCTTAATCTAAAATCCACGTAGTTTGATCAGGTGTTTTGCTGGTGCCATCAAGTGGCAAAATGTTGGATTGCAAAAGTCCCACAGCACCCAAATTGATTCAAATACATCTTGAACAGCACCAATGAGGAAAATAATCCCTGGCAAGCCTCCTCCAAAAATACGTATATATAAATATGTATGAGAAAAATGAACTGAAGTACACATGGTGTCATGATTACTTCATGTACTTCAGTTTGATCTTAACTTGATTTTAACAAGTGGAAAGGCTAATATTTTTGAGTATTACTAGTTGATAAATATAGGCAACCTGTAAAGCAAACTCAGAGATCCTTGTTGAAGAGCTACTTGAACTGAAGTGGCACAATGCTGTATTCTGAATTTCTGTCTTTGTTGTCTTCTGTTACTAGCTAATCTCTTTTTACAGAACATAGCCCTTTCATTTCATATCATAGCTGCACTTCATATTATCACAGTAGAATGAATATTCAGTTTGCTGCTGTATTCTCTAACTTCATAATCTGGTTAACTGAAAATTTAAACTTAAAGCTCATCATTCATACACACATCACTTTTTTTTTTTTTTTGCCAGCTGAGTGACATCATGGTGTTGTTCAGTAGGAAGGCCTCTGTGCAAAGGAAACACATAAATTTATAAAGCTTATGCTCTATTTCCTTGTAAAATCCAAATAAATTGGTATGTTTTTGTCTTGATTTCTCAGGAGACTGCTAGTATCAAAACTCATAGATGATGCCAGTGTGGACATTATCCTGTGTTTCAAAATCATGCAGGGCTGGATTTTGAGGAGTGCTGAGCACCCATGCCTGACTTAAAAATTCCTGAGAATGCTGAGCATTTCTCCCTGTTAAAACCTGGCTCTTACATTTCCTTACCACACACCTAACACTCAACAAGACCTATGGGAATTCCTCAAATAGGTACAGGCTCCAACTTTTTACCCTAAAATCAGTTATTTCTACACTCTGGGCATCACTTTCAGCTCCTCCTTCTGCCAAAGGGGTCACAGAATCCAGCCAAACTGCATGGTGCCTTTCACTGACAAGAGTCTGAAAACAGCTCCACACCAAAAAACAAAACCAACAACAGACAGCAAATGAGAGTGTGAAAAGGATGGAAATGCAGGTGGAAAGATCAGCCATAATCAGTAAGATTTTCCTGGCATTAGAAAAAGCCTTACATTTTAATTAATTCTCACTGTGGATACTTCCTGATGTTTTATTTACAAATTCTATTACAAGCATGAGTATATTAAAGCTTCTTATATTTTCTGCACTGAACACTCCTTGGCCCCTGAGTAGCACCTTCAGATTTTAGGTACCTGTGTATGCTTTGAGCAACTCTCCTGCAATAACATTTTACTGTGAGAGTTGTCCAAAACCAGCAAATGGATGTCCTTATCATAGATGTAGTAGCTATGAAGTAGCTACTAACATGAAGTAGCTTGCTAACCTCTTCTTCCTTTCTGACTGCTACATTGGTTTTCTGAGATGGGACATGTAGTTGCAATGACTCATCTGCTTTCTCATGAGGTACTATGCCTGAGTTGGCCAAAATCTCTCCTGGCTTGCAGTGTGAGTGTAGGAATGTGGAGACATAGAATACATGCCATCTGGGCAATTTCCACCTTGTGGAATAGGAATTACTTGTTTCTGGACCTCTTTTTTTCTCTAGAGTGAGATTCACTTGGATTGGTTAGGGGCTCTACACTAGTGTGCCTGCACATCAAATAATCCAAGGGATTGCATATTCAGAAAAGACAAACACAAGAGCAATGAGAATTCTTGTTTCAAGCTCATTTGACATCCTTTCACCTGTCCTATCACTGTGGCATCACAGCACCTTGCCATGGTTCTGGGATGGAAGTCCCATCAGCATCATTTAACAAATGTGAGTGCCGGACTCTCCCCTGGGATGGGGTAACCCTGGTTATAGGAACAGATTGGGTGATGAGAGGCTGGAGAGCAGTCCTGGGGAAAGAGATATGGTGTTTGGGTTGATGGCAAGCTGAAGGTGAGTCAGCAGTGTGCCCTGGCAGCTGAAAGGGCCAGCTGTACCCCGGGGTGCATCAGCAGAGCACAGTGAGCCAGGTGAGGGAAGTGACTGGGAAGTGGCTCCTGCTCTGCTCTGCCCTGGTGCAGCCTCACCTCGAGCGCTCTGAGCTGGTTTGGGTGCCTTAGTGGAAGAAGCACATCAAACTGTCAGAGTGTGTCCAGAGGAGGGGACCAAGATGGTGAAAGGTCTCAAGGGCAAGATGTTGTACGAGAGGCAGCTGAGGTCACTTGGTTTGTTCAGCTGGGAGAAGAGAAGGTGAAGGGTGATCTCCACAAAGTCTACATCTTCCTCAAGGGAGGCAGAAGTGCTGATCTCCTCTCTCTGGTGGCCAGAAATAATAGGATGTGAGAGAATGGCATGAAGGTCCATCAGGGAAAGTTCAGGATGGATATTTGGAGAAGGTTCTCCACTGTGTGGGTGACCAGTCACTGGAACAGACACCCCAGGGGAGTGATCATGGCACCAAGTGTGTCAGAGTCCAGGGAGCATCTGGACAGTACTCTTAGTCATGGTTTAGTGTTAGATAGTCGTGTGAGGAGCAGGATTGGACTTGGTGGTCCATATGGGTCCCTTCCAAACTGTGATATTCTGTAATCATTTCACGTAAAGGTTAGCTCATGATAACAAAGAGGAGAGCAAGGACAGGAAGGCAAGTTTCCAGTCTTTGAGTAATGTTTTAACTCTGACATTCTAGCCTGCATCTTCCATTCCTGTTGGAAAGGCTGCAGGACTGAAGGCTATCCTTGGACTTTTCTGAGTCAACCTTAAGCAGCGTGCTCTGCTTTCAAAGCTTTCCTGTAAGTCAGTAATGGTGATCTGAATCCTACATGAGTGTCTGAACAACACAGATTTGGCATCATCATTTGCCTATACTTCAGTTAGTCAGTCTTTTTTTTTTTAATGCTGTCATGAAGAAAAAGAAGTCTTGGAACTGGTTTCAGTGGAAGTGGCACCAACCTCAGTATATTTTAAAGAATAAACTGGCTGTAGTCTAGGAAAAGGAGCCCTAATTCCAAAAGCATTCCCCAACAGCCCCTCAGCTGTTGTTCCTAGGCATATCTCTACTTTTACAACAGCTTTCTGAAAAAGCTGAGCACTGACTTTTCATGTTTATGCCTATGGTATTTGGGGATGCTGTAAATTAGGCCAAAAATGAAATCTTTAAGTTCAGGAAGATTGTTTGGGACAACAGCCAACAGTAAATAGTTATCAAATGATGGGCAAAAAAGCAAAACAGAAATTTGGAACTTCAAGTGTTTCAGCAAAATATTGTGTAGAGATTTGTGAGTACCAATATATTTCCACATTAATATTTAGGGCATTGTGAAAAAAATAAAAGCTTAAATTGCCCATGCAGATATTTGCACATCTCAGTCTAAATTGCTGTTCAAGCATTTTGCTGCCTGATGCTTCACTTGGGGAAACCACTTCACTTAAACATTTTGACTGTGAGAAGTATATGTCTAGCCTATGTTGGCTGAGGGTCTTTTCCACTACCATAAGGTGTACATCCATTAATGTACATGGAGATCCAAATGTACATGAGATCCTTTTCCCTTGCTCAGTTGTCTTCTGGCAGTACATGTAGATCAAGTCCTCCATGCTTCCTTTCTGCTCCTCAGGGAAGCTGGCAGCAATGGAGGAATTTCCTGAACTCTTTATATCTGAAATCAAAAAGACAAACAAAACCAGAATGTCTTTTGATAGCAGCAACAGTTATGGTTACCTGAAGTGTTTTAAACAATGACAGCTTGGCTCTGTTTTCATGACTGACTTAGTTTATTTTGGCTAATGCCATTAGGATGAACCGTCAGTAGGAGAAGTTAGTACAACAGCAATTGTCAATTGTTTAATGAAGGTTGGGTCAAGTCAATGATGTTTTGCTCAGTTAGGGGAAGAAAGAAGGTGATAGATGTGTGCAGCATGTGCATCTTGCCGTGTTATTGAGTATCAGCTGCCAGCACATGCATACCTGCACTCTCAGCAGCATATGGACAGCAAATATATGCAATAGCACAGATGGAAGCTTTAGCATCTAATTTCCACTGATTTCAGAATTTGTAATTTATGCCTTGAGAACTTCCCCTCTCCATCTCTAGAGAGGGGTGAGAATGTTACTGTTTAGTAGCTAAGTTCAGACTGAAGGAATGCTGTGTTAGGCACTCACATGGATGTGCTAAAGGCTGAGGATACTTTGCACATTTCCATACATTGGTGTCATTTGACACCAAGCAGTTTGGTGTTTATGATGAACCAAAATAAGAATCTGATGTGCCATAGATTTTCTGTTTCTCAGTTTCTGAAGGAAGTCAAGCATTCACTTACAAGTTCTGTCTAAAATTTTGCCCCCAGTCCGAAAGTAGTCAGGCAGATGCCAAGTCATCAGTGTGGCTGTGATGTTTGCATTCATTAGGCCAGCTCTCACTGGAAACATTAATAAACCATTCCTGGTGGCTGCTCTCTATAGGCTACCAAGCTGCAGAGCAACCACTTTACCTTGGACATAAAAGAGAAGCATTGCACACAGAGGTCTGATCATCTAGTCAGTTCGAACAGGACTGTGTAAAACTTAAAATATTTACAAGTCTCCTTCTCCCAAAGAAACATTTATAGCCAGTGGTGGTCCAGTGACATTTGAGATCTCAACACACATTCAAAAATGTCTCAGCCCAGAGATTATCAAAAAAGGGCTAAGGTGAACATATTTTTAAAATGTCTATCATGAACAATCCTTAAGATTCTCAGCACTATAGACAATTATTTGATAGACACTATTAGGGTTTCTAACTTCCACAATAGTAGATTTATTCTGAATTCTGACAGACAACTTCCAGCTTTCTGGTTTGTTTTTTTTTCCTGAGAAAAAACCCACCACCCAAAATATAGTGTTCTGGGATCAGAACATCAGTTTGCTAGTGCCTTCTTTACCATTAAAAAGTTGCATTTTTCCCTTCAGGTTTGTTTTGTACGTCATGTGGATGTCAAACCAGAGTGTAAGAATACAGTGTCTTTAGTTATGAGCTTGTGAAGGCCTCCAGTAATTGTTTTGATCCGCGCGTGAGGCCAACACATGTGAGGGTGTGTGCTGCCAACAGCTTCCAGCAGGTCGTGCAAGGAGAGTTCTTATTCATAGTGGCATTTTAATTCAGGGCTCTGCTTTTGACATGAATCTCCCAATGTCTCTGTTTTGCAGTACCTTGGTCTTGGAGTACATGAACTGGGTTCCTTATGGATGTATTTATCTGAAAGCTGTGTTCCAGAAATATTCCAGGAAGGTATCACAGCCACAAATGGACCCTTAATACAAAGTAAAGAGCATCTGAAATGCATTTTTTTGGCACCTCAGATCCTAGCACCCACTGTTTCACTCAACACATCTTCTCCTGTAGCCCACAATACATGCCAAGTGACACAGTCACTGAGCAACATTTTAATAATTCCAGATTTAGATTTAATTGAATTTTTTGAGTGGGATGGTCTGAATTTGTTTTTATTAACTGTTTCCAATAAACCTATAAATAACTGTACACATAATCTTAGGATATCAATGCTGAATCTACCTGATGATAGGGTAAAATACATAGGATACCTTCTTTGTATATATATATATCTGTATATATATATATGCAACCAAGCATTATTCAAATATAGGTACATGCTTCTGGTTATTCAGGGTCACAGTCTGGCCATGCAAATATTGGTAGCAAATGCTCCAGTCCAAGAAAATAATGTAATAAAATTAATGAATTAGTTCTTTATAAATGCTGAGAACAACTGTCCTATTTATTTATTTTATTTATTTATTTGTATTTATGTGACTAGGAAAAAATGTAACATTTAAAAAATGTATGATATTGTAAAACATGCAGCCATCTTCTTTTCAGGTATGAATTGGGGTGCTCATGTGTGTGTTGACAGTAGCAGAAAAATGTAGTTTATGATCTGTGTTACAATACAGATTTTCATGGTCACTGAGAAAAGAATGCTACAACCTTGCTATGTATATTTAATGTTTGTGTTTCAGAATTGTGTCTAGTTGTCATCTGAAAGGTGCCTTGCTGTTGCATTGCTTAATTTTTTCTTTTTCTGGGTATCCTGTGTAGCTAACATGATTCTTTCCTGGATATTCATTAAAATTTAAATCAGGCCTATAATTCAGTAAACTTCCAAGCCTATTAATAGTTAAAAGAGTGCAGATGGAAATTCACCAAATTCCTGCAATGCAAGGAATACCACAAAAACTTGCCTCAGGGCAGATATGTAAGTGGGAGGCATCAAGACACAGCTTGACAAGTGTTAGAATTCAATAATATCAAAGTATTCTTACTGAAATTCAGATGTTGGATAGGAGACATTACAAATAATGAAAGAATTTATCAATTGTAGTAAATCAGAAGCCTGCCAGAAAGATGGAAACTAGGACCTGATTTTGCTAACAATAGAGAGAAAATCTCATATGAAAGAACACTGGAGGACTTGAGGCTCACTCTGGAATCCATGATGTACGGAAAAAAATACAAATTTAGATTGAAAAAAAAAAAGTCATGAGTGTCAAGCAGCATGGAAGTTCAGCTTTCCAGACCTTTAAAAATAGCAGGAATTCAGTCATATCCTGCCCCCCAGCTATTAGTATAATTGAGCCTGTAAAATATAGTCAAAACACATTGATTTCTGAAACTTCCTGATTACATACTGATGATTACAAAAGCTAACTGCAAGCTTCCTTTAATTTAAAATTTTAATTTAAAATTTTATTTCAGTAATTCTAGGTCAAACTGTAATCTAGGGGAAAAAAAAGGTTTAAAACAGGAGAAGATACCATGATAAATGTTGGCGATTGATTTGTCAAATATGCTCATTTTTTTTCAAATTAGAAATAAATGCAACATATGTGTTCATTTTATTCTTTATGAAAATTATTTCAGGAGATTTTGAATGCTAAAACCACAGTATAGTTTATTTTAGCAGTCCTCTTTTCAGCAGTGACGAACGTATTTCCTGGGGGACTGACAGACTATTGCACAAAGTAGAAGATACTCTGTTTCATTAAAGCAAAAAGAAAAAAGTGTGTCTTGCCAGAAAAACATAACCATGAGAAAATGCTTTCAGTAACAGCAAATTGATATCAAATACTTCTAATGGAATAATTTTCCTTTACAAGTTCTGCTCTTGTCTTGAGATAGTCGGACAAGCAAGGAATTTGAAATGGAGTTAGTGCTACATTCAAATTGAATGTTCTTGATAGGACCTCAGGTCTCTAATTTTCTTGGTAGTGTTGGGGCAGGTTATGCAGTAGCAGGTTATCGTGTTTCATATTTGAAATTTTAGGTGAAGATGCAGGATAAAATACGAAATACCATAAAAATTTTTACTGCATCTGAATACTAAGGAGAAAACAGATGAGCTCTGCCTAATTCTGGCAAGTGTCTACAGGAAACAGTACTTGCTTTTACTACTGCTACTGGTTATTTGTACCAGGTTACAAAATAAAACAAACAGAAAAACAACATGAAAGAAGCAGATTACAGAGGTGTGATACTATTGCTTTGTGTTACTGATGAACAGAAGCTGGAAATAAACTTTCAAGTAAGAGCATAAAGTTTGGACTCGCACAGAAAAGGACTTCTGCACAGGAAATCTCGCTTGGTGAATTCAGTTTCACTGTGAAGTTCCAGTCCCACTCTGAAAAGGACTTTAAACCCATAATACTTTTAATAGAAATTATCTTTTTCCTTAACTGCCATTTTGTCTCTATATCTGTACTTAGGGGAAATGATTCAGTCCTCCTTTCACTTGAACAAATTTGTATTTCAACGCTGGTTGATCAGCTGATTGTGAGGAGAGGAGCTGTCCTAGGTCAGTGTAAAACCCTGAGCTCTCCAGAGCTCCATGCAGGCATTTATATCTAAACAAGGTGCCTCTGCTTTGGGCTGCTCTCTTGTGCAAGTCAAAAGCGCCAGGACTTTTACTTTCTATCAGATGAAGCTTTGGTTCGTGGCAACCAAGAATCTTCTCCAAAGAGAAGACAGAAAGACAAAAAGCCACCATCAGTTTCTTAAACAAAGTAGACAAAGAAGCACTACTGCTTCCTTTCCCATCCACCAAGAGCCAGCAGAGCATTCCCTTGTATCTGTGCCTGCTTCTTCTGGGACAGCCCTGGGGAAGCCCTCAGGAACCTGTTTGATCCAGGACAAGCACAGTGTGGAATAATGGCTAGATCAGTTCTCAAAGGGAAGCACTGAATTCGCTCTGCTTTCCACACACTGTGACAAGACTTTTTGGCTAAAAAAAACAATGGCTCATCATGTGGAGAAGGCTGAGAGGCCTTTGTTTTACATCCTCACATTTTGAGTTGTACTTTTAAGATTTCTGTGTTGCTCTGCACTTAATGATCTGCTAGCTTTTGGATATGGACCTTATATCCAGAAGTCTGAGAAGAGTCTCAAGGAGAAAGGAGCAATTTATATTCATCTGACTGGTAAGTTTGCCATCCTGACTTTGGCAAAGCTTTGACAGAAAGGATATTTTAAACAAGTCTTCTTCTTCACTGGCATTTGTCAGTAAAATGCAAAGGATTTTGCTCTGCCTTATTAAAATAGGGAACTAATTTGAAAATATTTGAAATATGTTATTCTTCCAGGATGTCTGGGAGTTTCAGCCATATGTTTTTGAGGAAAGAAGTTGATGTAGCACATTCAAATGAAAAAACCGAAGCTAATTCTATCATGCTGGCAGTTTATAGAGTATTGGGTAGGTCTAATATGGTATCTATATGAACACTATGGGAATCTTATATTGATTACTCACATTCAAGTGCAACTGGCTTGCAATGGGGAAAATGTTCGGAGTTTTTAATCCATAATCTGCAAGTGGGCAAGAAACAGAAATCAGACTTTCCCTCTAGCAGAACTGCTGTGGTTCTGCCAGAACTTGCAATGCTGTGCACTTCTGAGTCCATATTGTTCCAACCCCAGTGCAATTTCCTTTCTATCCAGCTTTATTAGCCTGTCTCAGAAACTTATTTCTGGCTGCCAGAATTACAGATGGAGCCTGACTAATAGATTTTTTGCCCCCTGCCTGTTGCACATATAGGGAGGTCCCAAATTTCATGGGTTCTCTTTGCAGCTCCATGAGAGCAGCTGCCCACTGAGGCAGGGATCTGTGCCATCAATTTTACTTCATCAGTCTCCTAGCATTCAGCTGTCATCCATAGCACCAGATCGTGATTTGACTGCACTCAACTTCAAATCCACATTATGCAGACAGGCTTAAACCTGTCTGCAGTCTTACCCAGCACACCAGCACCAGGACCACTGATTCACCAGAATCCACCCTCCCTCATCAAAAGGGTTCATATAGGACATATATGTCCTATGTCCCTGCAACTGCACTAGTCCAAACCCACCATTTAAATAATAAAATTTGCCTTCAGCTCCAGAGAATTGCCCTGAGCCTGGCTGGCTCAGGGACCTCAAGGTTGCATCACTGACACCTCCCTTCAGGAGCAGGACCCAGACCAAGGGTCAGGACATCCCGAAGAATAGTGCTCTGCTCTACGGACACAGTCCAGTGCATGCAGAGGAGCCCACACTGTCTGTCCAGCTCTGTTCCCTGGAAAATGGGCCCAATTCCTTGGCAGAAGAATCCAAGGGGATTTTAGCACAGTGGCCAAAGTCACAAGTCCGTATTGACCCAGGGGAAATCACCCACAAAGGAAATCAGAAGTTTCCAGGATGATGTCTCTCCAAAGCAGGAGCCACCATCATACACATTGCAGCCCCAAAACTTTCAGAAATCCATGATCAAGAGAATGAGAATTATCTCACTGGGAGGCTTTGCTGAGGAAAAACTCCCAGTGGGAGGAAGTAGGAGGGTATAAGAAAATGATACATTATTATTTTGAGACATGATACCTAAGTAAAAACTGATTTCTAAATGTAACAAATATTGTGCTTACAGAACCCTAAAGAAATATTATTCCAACATAGGAGACAGTATTTGGAGATCATCCCCTCCCTTCCCAACCATTATTGTCTGTCTCTTTGGAAGAAAAGCCTTAATAAGAAACTTTAGGGCTGAACTCTGAACTAAGCTTACCTTCTTATGCAGTGCACTGTGACTATGCTTTGGTCTGTGTTCTGGCAGTGTTTGACATCACAGCAAGAGGGTTTTGGGGGGTAGCACACAGGATGAGGCAGCTGGGGATACCAGCAGGGGTTTAACTATTGAATGGGGTGGAAAGATGTTAGAGCACACCTGGGAGCTGGGATCCCAGACACATGCAGGTCATGTGCAGTTTTACCTCTCCTGAACAAAGCAACAAATACAGCCACAAACCAAGACAGTTTGTTACAGAAAATTTGATTGGGAAGAATTTAATGAAGTCATGTGGATGTTGGTTCAATTCTCGACAAATTGGTTGAGCCTAGTGGATTTCAAGTAATGCAGGCAGCACAGCAGCAAGACTTCCATGAAGTGCCAGTTTTTTATTCCTATTCCTGGAGATACCAGTATTCTTTGCTAAGATCTTTGCTAAGATCTTTGCTAAGGGATGTTCACACTATCCTGCAAAACAGTTGGAGCTGGCCACCACAGGTGCAGTTTGGATTCTGGTTAAGTTGGCTTGCTGGATGTTTTTGCCTTCCTGTGTTTGACAGACATGGTGATAGATTTTGATCTGTTTTAGTTCCTTCTGCTGACCTTTTCTCTCAATATGTTTTTTTTTTGTTTTGTTTGGCTTGAATTGACAGCAAAACAAATGGATGCATTTGAAAAGAGTGGTTTTTCAGTTGTTTTTTCTCACCAGTAAGAGCAAAACTAGCTGGAGGTCCTACTTTTCTTGGAAAAGCAGTGTGAAAAAAACATGCATGTCTTTTGGCAAGTGATAGTACATAAATGCATGTCTTTTGGCAAGTGATAGTACATAAATAGATTTTCTGAATACCTATTAAATGCACCATTGTTTTATTAATAACCAGTTGAGCCAGTAATTGGTTTATTATGATTTTGAACCACTGATTTGTTTTTAACCTGGATGGCTTGGCCATCATATTAAAGTGAACTAAGCTTTAATGTTTGTGCCATGTGCAAGTGTACAGCTATGTCAGTGATTTCCAGAGTTCACAAGTTTAATATATTCTAAAAAATTATTATTTCAGTATGTCTTTTTCATGCTCTATCTTACTCTAGAGCTGAATGTTTGGAAAGGCTCAGCAGAATATTTTCCTTCATTTCATTAATTACTCAACTGTTGAAAAATGTCTGTTATTTCCTTCCAGAAATATACTATGGAAGAATTAGAGTTGTGGTTTTAGGATACAATGGGAATGGGCTGCCTCAGCTGTTATTACAGAGGGTGTGCTGACTGGAAGAAAAAGGCTTAGGACATCAGTTCTACACCCTGAATCTTTACACAAAAAGGACATCCCCCACATGTAAATCTATCAGTACCTTAGTTGTGTGTTTCACTGGCACCTGTATTTCCACATTACTGAATTTCTTTGGGAAAAAACTAACTGGGAGGATGAAGGTCCTTGATATATCTCTTTATAGCTCCCTAACCAGGCTACAGTGGATGTCCTGTGCTGATGGAGCAATGGTGTCAGGGAAAGATGGGTATCACAAAATCACAGAATGCTTGAGGTGGGAGGGGACTTCTGATGGTCACCTGGTGCAGCCCCTGCCCAGGCAAGGCCACCTAAATCAGGCTGCCTGTGGCCATGTTTCCAAGGATCTATCAGCCCCTCTCTGGGCTCAGGCTAAGTGCTTCCCTATGTTCAGATGGACCATCCCATGTTTCAATTGATGCCCATCCCCTCTGGTCTTCTCACTGGGCACAATGAAAAGAGCCTGGCTCCCTCTTCTTCTGCAACCTCCCATCAGGTGTTTGCACACATTGATGAGATCCTCCCTGAGCCTTTCTTCTCCAGCCTGCACAGTTCCTGCTCAGCCTTCCATCATATGAGAAATGTTCTAGACCCTTCATTAGCTTAGTGGCCTTTCACAGATCCAAAAAGAGCCAAAGCAAACTGTTTATTGAAGTGAGAAATTATACATATTCTTCTCCTTAAGCTGGTGTTAAACAGAAAAAACTTAGAAAGAATTGATAGGCAGATTAATACACACTGAAACAAATTATCTCTTCAGGCTTTATGTCAAATGCCACTGTAATTTCTTTTAAAAATTTTATTTGTTCTAGGAATGGTTATTAAAAGACAGAAAGTTGACATGATGAGACTTGTTAAGGTTTAAAGTTCATGATATAGATTTTGTAAAGCTAATGCTGTAGTTTCCATTTTTCAAACTCCTCCAGGA